AATTTCGAAAAATTATTTTAAAAGTTTCACCGAATAAAATCTGCCTTATGTATGTAAGTACATATGTACTTGTATAAAAGAGAAAAAAAATTTTATCACTTTGAGCATGTAGTTAATCGTATTAATTTGAAAAATATTTTCAAAGAATATTTTTCATTTTACGCACATAGGCATTAAATTAATATTTTATATATAAAAAAAACCAGTCACACACAAATATTGCTTTATTAGACGTCATTTTATGTACATTTATTTGATGTAAAAAAAAAAATGCATTGTATGTGTACATGCATGTCTATAATATACGGGGAAAGTACACAGTGGTCTGGTAAGTCTTTTTTTTTTATGTACATAAGTAGTAATTTTTATTTTGCAAAAAAAAAATAGCATTACGTATACGTGATAAATTACTTCCGAGTATGGATTTTATTTCCCCCTCCCTTCCATCCCCCACTTCCTATGTACGATAAGTAAGTAAATTTCTCATGTTTGAACATTTAGGTTATGTTTACGGAATGTTTTCAGTTTTGTTTTCTATAATTTTCCTACATAATTTTTTTTTTTGGTATTTTTTGCTTTTCCATTTTGTTCGGATTATTTAATAAAAATTTGGAATTTTGTTGTTTTTTACGATATTTTTTTTTTTTTTAGCCTCATTAAATTTTGTTTGTTTGTTTCATTTTAATGTAGGTAGATAGAGGCACACAAGTTTAGCTATGACGTATTGTATTGTACAAAAAACAGAAAATGTGTACATCGTAATTTTTTTGTTTTATTTTGGTTCTTGTCTAGGGGAAGGGGACGTCAAGAATGGAGAATGATAAAAATTTTCTTATATCATTATCTGAAAGTATGTGAAAAATAGGAAAAAAAAATATGGGAAAAAACAAAATATAGACGTTTACAGTAAAAGAAAAAAAAAAGTTCAGTTTATGCATGTAGTCTAAAGGTTGTAGAAACTATATAAATACTTCCTTCTTTCAAAATTTTTAGATATGACAGAAAAGATGGAATTATGCGTAAATATAAAGGTAATAAAGTTTTCTTTTCTGATTTTTTTGATTTTTTATGAAAAGAGAAAGGGAAATCTTTAGGTACACTTCTATAATTTTTGCGGTTTATTACATTATTCGGAAATTGTTTAAGAATGTCTTTTTCCCTTTGTATATATACATTTATAATAAATAAAATAATGGCTGAGTTTTTTTAGTTAAAGAAAACAACAAACTTACAATTTTATTTTTATGGACAAAGAACAAAAACATCAAAAGAATAATAAAAGAAGAAGACAAAAAAATTCTATTATTGTTTCTTGTTTCGTTTAAATTTTCCAAAACGTTTCTTCTTGAAATTTTCATTCAGCTTCATTGAAGAAAATTGTACACAAATATCCAAAGTACATAATATGGACAAAATATTTAAACTCATATATTTTTTACCAAATAGCCATATGGTCTTATGAAAGTGTTAGACTACATGAAAGCTTTGAAAAAACAAACAAAAAAAAATTGCATAAATTTATTTTAAATTTTGTTATTTCAATGCTCATACCGAGATGAAAACATCAAATAATAGAGAATGCAAGAATTTCTTTAAGTTAACCATATGGGTATGATAAATTGTTTGAACATTTTTTATAAATACAATTAGGCGTAGACTACATCACAACTTTTATATATGTTTAAGGTTTTCTTCTACAATAGTTGAGTATCTAAGAACAAAAAGTAGCCTAAGTGTCCGGTTATTTTCATACAATGTAAGCTTAAACCATGTTTAGCAGTTGTTTTATAGTATTAACTAATTTCAGCAGTTCTATAAAACAAACAAGCTGAGTAATCTTATAGGTAGGTATTTATGTACATGGCGTTCATTTTATATCACTAAAAAACCTACCTAAAATTTACAGTAACAGTTTAAAGAAAACAAATTCATAGCTTTTAGGAGAAAATTCGGAGGTATGGGGATTTCCAGAATGAAATGACATCCAGAATAAATGAACTTATAAATGTTATATGCGTCAGGTTTGTCCATATGAAAATAAAAAAAAAATAACAAAAATAAGAATACTTTCGATAATTTTAATTTTCTCATTTACTGACCCCGAATTTGTGTTTTTACAGAATCGACTGATATTTTAGATTTACCAGATTTTTGTTTAAGAATTATATTAACCCTTTCTTTTTGAATTGCTATACGAAGGAACATGTTTGTTAAAACGCATTTCCCAGCAAACCTATAATCAACTCAGGATGCTGTTTAGTTAAATTTGTCAGTCAGAGGCCCTTTTGCATCATAAAAGGTATGCGAATCTATTTTAGTCGGGTGCTATATTAGCTTGTCTTTGAATAATTATTATTCAGAGTTCGAAGAAATTTCTGTTATATATTTCTGTATGGCTTCTAAAAATTTTTAAAATCTTATATTTGGAAAAATCCAAAAAAAAACTCTAAAAATTCAAAATTTCAAATATTATGACTTTAGATTTACAGTTCAACGTTACATTAAGTATGCATTGAGATTAACTCTAAGTCACTTAAAAACGCTCTATTGAAATAATTTCGACAAAAAATCTACTTAGGAGTGTTACTCCTTCAAACTCGTAATAATTATTTACATTTTTTAATTACCGTTATCATCTACCAAATTTAGATAACGAGAAATTCATTCTCGTTCCATTAAAACAGTATTTAGTTGGCGACTAAACTAATCGGCTCAGTTAAAAAAAAAATATTTTTTAGAATTTTTGTTTGGAAATCATAGTCAGGTTCTTATTTTAATTGTAATTGAAAATTAATTTCCCATACAAATTTTATTTCACTTAATGATTCTCACCAAACCACCTTATTAATCTTAAAAATTTTGACATTTTAAAATTTTTGTTTTTTTTGTAAAAGTGTTTTTAAAATATTTTGGAGCAACATTTTTTTATTTAGAAATTTTCAACTAAACTGTATGATTTGTATAAAAGTTTTACTCTTCTCATTTTATCCGTGTCAAGTTTAAAGGATATTATAAAATTTAAATTATGTTTGTAATGCTTAGAAATTACGTTCTAAGACGAAAACATAAGTTTATATTTTTCATCATCGTTGAATTCTGAATCCTAGCGATAAGACAAGACCTAATTCATAAAATTTCAATAAATTGCGTATTATAGTAAATTCCAGAACTTATTTGAATTATCTACCATACAATTTCCAAATGATGTGATGATATTTCAAAAATTATTAAAGCTGTTGTATTGAAATTTCGCACAAGCAGGGGGTTTTCGTTTATGCACGCTGCGCTGAAAGTTCTACATTAGAACTAAAATTTCTAAGTAGCAGGGTTAAATAGTATGCAAAAACTTTAGCTAAGCTTTTTTTGTTTACGCAGTCTACAAATTCTGAAACTTTTAAATAATCTATCGTTCCAAAATAACAGAAATGACATTGTTTATGAAATTGTATCCCAATAGTTTTCGCCTCCTAATTCGCTGCAAAGTAAACACCCTTCAATATCTGAATCTGCCATTTTGAAATTTAATTTTTTTTTTAAATTTTAAATTAAAAAAGAAAAAAAAATTCATGAATTCAGATTGAATTTCCGAACGCACTTTATTGCAGCCAGTAATTTCCGAACGATCTATATTTTTAGTGTGTGTAGCGTGAATTTTCGAACGTACTACAAGTTAGAACTATTCTAGAACTGAATAAACGAAAACCCCCACATACATATATACTATCAGGTCTATTGTGTTTAATAAAAGTCGTTTAAATTGCATAACTCTCTTTAGTAACTGCCCTGACATACACTCTCGACAATTATTTAATCATGTTGAGTAAATATTTGAAATACAGGTCAAGCATGAGCACAAACCACTTTCAACAGTGTCACAATGTCATAAAACTCTTAAATTCATTGATTTTTACGGGTATCACATAGTTTACACGGTCAACTCTCATTGTTCTCGGTTTTTTCTAAAAAATCCTTTCTTTATAAAATTAACAACAACAATAATTGTTTTTATATATCCCTTTTTTTTCTTATTGCCTTGATTAGTATAAATATGAAATTGTGTTGTAATGTTGTTAAAAAAGAATTTTATTTTAATTTTTCTTATTTTTATTTTGTACTAAAAGTTCTCTCTTGTTCCTTTTGTTATTTTCCTCATTAACAGGTTTGTATAAAAAGCCCTTGAAACTCATTCATTATTTTCATAGTCAATTGCAATTAAAAACTAACACAAGAGGTCCTTGATAAAAATGCCAAGCATTTTTTGGCATTTTCATTTTATTTTTATGTTTTATTTTAATTTTTTTTTTATAAGTGGAGAGAAAAAGTACCTCTAAATTCTCATAATGTATTTTTTTTCTCTCTTGTTGTCTCAGAATTGGGTGAATTGAAAATGTTTTGGGTTTTTTTTTTCTGTTATTTTTATAGAAGAGTTGTGGACGTGTCTGCAGGCTATAATAAAATAAGGTTTATGTATATGTACATTCAAATATTAAAATTTATGTGAGTTTTAAAAATTTGTTCTTTAATATTTAAATAAAAAAAAAAACAGAAAAACAAACGAGGAGCAGCACTTTAAAAAGCAATTATATTTTTTGCTTAATCACTTCAAAAATGGGTAATGATAAAATAAAATTGACTTTTTGAATCAGAGTTAAGCTATACACGGAATTTAGGTTCTTTTAAAATATATACATACATACATATGTATATATAAAGAGAGATGCATAAGAGATGAGAGTAAGGGTCTTAGAAATTTATTGAGTTGGCCCAAAAGTAACGAGAGTTTTGTTATTATAATTCTCGTTAATGACTGCTAAAATTATTAAGTAAAATATGTAGAAATTCAATGAGTGTATGAGGCTCTTAAATAAATGAGATTTTACTCTTACTGTGGGTATAAGTTTTTATATTTAATACAGAATTTTTAAACTGTTTCCATTAAATATTTCTTTTTTTTTCTTTGTTTCTTTGAAAATTATTTTGCTCTACGAAAATATTTAAAATCAATTTCTCTTTTTAACTGGTTTACCGAAAGGATTTCCGACCCATGGGTAAACAGATGGGCATGCTACACATGTTTTCATCCAACGTTCTTCTTGTGTTTCAGTTTTCTTTAATTGACAAAAACGTGGTTTACAATTTGATTTTTCTCTTTGAACGCAAGTTTTTGATGGTTTATCAGGTGTTGGTGCCTTCACGTAATCGATAATTTGTGAGACTGTTACAAAATAGACATCTGGTAAGGTGTTTAAATGTTCCAAGAATCTATCAAAAAAAAATAATTCGTGAATTTCTCAAAATTTAGTTCAAATTAATTGAATTTTGAACTTACTTTTTATAAGCTGGCAAATAATTATCACCTTTTAAAAAGAATGATGCATGTAAATAAATTGGAAATGGTGCACGATTATTTTTATAATTTTGTTCAAAATTTTCCATCATCCATTTAAATAATTCATCAACATCATCTTCTGGTAAATTACCGCATGCATCAAGCATTGCACATTTATTACCAACAACATCAGTCCAATCTAAAAGTGGACTTACCCATACACCAGGTATAGATGCAGTTGGACATCTAGCTAATGGACAATCCTGTGTTGATTGATAATCTAATGTATATGGCCACATACCGGGATGTGTAAAATGTTGTGTTGGCCATGAACTATCATATGTTAAACCCATTTCTTTTAAAGCAAAATACGTTGTATTTGCTGAAATTTCAAATAATGGTGTACGTATTCCTTTAATATCTTCTTTTTTAATTTGTGCAAAATGTGCCATCATATCACGTTGTCCACCAAATTCTTCTTTTAAAAGTTCAACATCAGCTGTATTCCAATATGTAGTCATTGGTTTATGACTAATTGAATGTAAAGCTATTTCATGTCCTTGCTCCCATAACTTATGAACTTTTGTATAATCGGTATATTCATGTGAAACGAAAAATGTTGCTAATGCTTTACAACCATCCGGATTTTTTAATTTTCTGATTGCAGATTGAATATATTCATAATTAAGAGCTGTAACAGCATCATCGTATGTTATTGCCACCAACTGATGATTGAAAATATTTTTTAAAATTTTAATTTTTTTAATATTAATCTTTATTTTTATATATTATTTTTTTTTACCTGTGGAATCTTTTCCGGTGGTAATTCCTTACTTAAAAAGGTTTGTGAACAACGACACTTTGGTGGCGTACATTTTGTTGGATCACATGCTTCAGCAAGTGGTAAATTTAAATTATCCCGATGTACTTGAAAATTTGTCTGATTGAAATCCGTAGTTCCAAAATTTGATGAAGGCTCCCTATCTATTCGATTAGTTTCTGTAGTACTTGGAGCACCGAGCGCAACGCTTAAAATCACAATATTTAAAAATAAAATTTTCATTTTTTTCGCGTTTCGTTTATTTTTTTCTTATTTTTTTTTCGTTATTAAACAAATGAACATGAATTGCTAGTCAATAATTTTGGGTTAAACACTTTTTATAGGTTTTTTTAGCAAAAATATTTTTCGAATTTTTCGAAATTGTTAAAATTGATGTTATCGAAAAATTTTAACATTCATTATAACATTGATATTTTACTTATGATTAAAAATTATCATATGAGTATTTTATCATGTTCTTTGATATTTTCATAACATTTCAAATTGATTCTAAATTAAATTTTAGATAAGAAAGTTAAAAATGAAAGAAAAATTTCGGTTTTCAATAAAACATGAAAACCCCGCAATCTTATATGGCATAAATCAGCTGATTGAATGGGAAAAATTCAAAAAGAAATTAAGAAGTGAACTTGAGTGTATGTGAGGTGGTTCGGGTTGCCAAATTAATTGAAAATGCAAAATCATCCGAAAAAAGAAATTTTAATTATTCGATTTTTGTATAACTGCAAATTAATCTTCAATTAGTTGCACAACCAATTTAAAAGAGATATTCTGTAAATATAAAAATAAAAGTGAGTCGTATGCTCTGTACTACAAAATTTTTCTAATGAAATTGAATTTTCAACATTAAAATTTTTAGATATTTTCTGATTACTCTAAAATTTTAACATAAATTCTCAAAAAACTAAAATTACTTAAAATTACCCAAAATAAAAATGACCAGAAGTTTCATCCAATATAGCATTATCAAACCATAGTTTGAGCTAATTACCTAAGGTTTGGCAATCCTGTAATTGACATTTGTTTCCGACATTATGTTCTATATTTAATAAACAACATAATAAACTTCGATTGAGTTTCGCCGATTTCGAAATACATTTGTTTACAAAAATTAACATATGTAAGGGTGTATAGAGTTTACGTTAGTCACAGTTCCTTGGAATTTTTTTTTTTTAAATTTAAAATATTGATAATTTTATCAGTTTACGTAATTGAATAATTATATTTTTAGACAAAAAGGAAAGAAATGGAAAAGCGATTAATTGCTAGAATATCATAAGAAATGTTTGGTATCGAAATTTCTTCAAATAAAATTGAGACGAAAAAACACATATTTACATACTTACACAAACGAGCTTTACTATTTCATATATAGTAAAGCTCGAATTATAGAAATAATTTAATTAAATTTATACTAAATAACAATTTGATTTTCTTATTATATAACACAAATTACAACAAATTGTTAATTATTATATTAGAAATAATTCAGTATGAACATCTTTGGAAAATTTACCTTAATTTCAGTTTATCCTGTTTTCACAAGCAACATTATTCGTAAACACAAGCAGAAAGATTAAATTTAGAAAACCGTTATTATAATTCAATAACAAAATATGACATATTGCGTTCAATAAAGTTATAATTAATAAAGTTGGGTCAAACCAATGGTTTGTAATGTTCCTTCCCTTCAACAAGTGAATATACTGCTTTTAAAATCATTCTGTGTATACCTACTACACCATTAAAAATTTTTAATTCATGTACGAAACTATTGCTAGGATTGCATATATTTAGGATGAAAGCTTACAATATAAGTTGGCAATATAAGGTGCCAACAATTCGATTCTAACAAATTTCTAGAGGCAAAAGAGGAATGAAACTAATAAGCACTTTTTCAAAAATTTTTTGGAAAACTATTAAAAAATGATATTATAATATTTTCTTAAAAATTTTTAGTCTTTTAACTTAATAATTCATCTTTAAGTAGCTTCCACTTGAAAACGACAAGTCTGATATCGATTATTTATATTACCGTTGTATAGAACTGTTAACTGTGAATACAAGTTCTGAAACTCATATTGCTCTAGCTGCTCTAGTTTCAAAGCTGTTATAGATATTTGCCAGACATTATCTGTATTTTTTCAATTTGATTTTCTTTAACCTTCCAAAAGTACTTTTTGACATCCGAGTTCTCGCCCCACTTTAATAATTTTTTTTCTAAATTCGAAGGGATTTAACACCAGATCTTTGTCATCATTGCCCATCACTCACGTATTATATAATTATATAATTTACCTAAAACTTTAAAAACCTATATGTTATAATGTTGACATTACATCGATCGAATTCCTTGCACGGATTGTTTCGGGCTACTTATTGTTCATTATTAATCTAACTATTTTCATTAATATTGCTATTTTACTAGTTACTACAATATTTCCATTTCAAAGGTATATTTACATGAGTCGAAATCAAGCAAAAATGTTAAGGTTAAAGACACGCTTTGGTCGCAGATGTTTTCATGTCGAAGCTCTCCTTTAATAAAAAAAATCAAATTTCTATTACAAAAATAATTGAATTATACCATCTTGAGAGAAAAACAACGTCGTTTAACAGTGATAAAAATTGTTTGCAAAATTATTGAATTTAGTCTGTTATATGGCTCTTAAGATTTGATATATGAGAATAATAAAAAAACTATCAAAATTTTGATTCTTAATAACCCATTGATTTCGGATTTTTGACGTCATCTGATTAATTTAATCCAACATTGAAAGTTGAATTAAAACTATTTTAAAAATTGTATGCCCTATATTTTGTTTTACAACTTATACTTTTGGAAAATAAAGGGTCAGTTCAATTTGCCAAATATAACACTCGATCACCCGCGAATAATAGACTGCATACCGTTATTCTAAATGAGGGTCTGAATATGCATACAGCAACCAATTGAATATATGTACATAAACTGTAACAAATTATAAAAACCCTTATACAATTAAATTTTTAGCAATTAAATGGAAAAAAATTTAAATTTTGAATATTAAAAGTAACTACTTGTAACAGTAAAGTTTAAAAAATACAATTACTGAGTTTATATACTAAAAATTCGTATATATATGTACGTGCAGGAATATTATGTAAAAATACATAAGTCATCATAGTTTTAAAGTAAAGATGAAAAATGTTCTTTTTTTCTTTTCATTTATTAACAAAAATCTTAACGCGAACAATATAAAATCAACGAAAATTCACAAATATTAGATATTTAAAACATATTATTATACGAGAGGAAAGAAAAACAAAATCTATAGAAAATTTATTATATTCTTTTTTGTTTAATTTTACCCCATACATACCCTTAAAAGATATATGGAATGTAAGTATGTATAATATTATAATAATAATAAAAATATATAATATTTTTATTATATAAAAAAATTTTTTTTTATCTATCGTACTCATCAGCCAATAAGAAGAGACAAGAATGTTATACACAAATATATTTATATATATATATACATTTTATATGTACTCATTGTTACATATACATAATACTTGAATATTTTTTCCTTTTGGGTAGAGAATTGGGTCTTGTATATGCCTTTCATAAAAACTCATATTATCCTTTTTTATTCATACATTTATAACACAAATCATTTATGAGAGGCATCTGTTAAATTTATATATGTTATACAAAATATATGTGTACATTATAAAAATATATAATATATATTATGTTCTGTATAAACATATTATGTTCTTACACATTTTATCAAGTATAATTTTTAATTTATATCAAGGTATATAACATACAATAGTTTATATATTCAAAATAATGTATGGCAATATTCTAAAATCTTTGCTATAAGAAGAAAAAAAATTAGAAAAAAATTTTATAAAAAGTAAAGATTTATATAAATAATTTTCTCCTATATACAAACATATGGAATATACCTATATTGTATAACAGTTTTTCTTCTTTTATCATATCTTGTTTCTTTTCTTATCAAAGAATATTATTTGCGAATTTTACGATATGAGCTTATATTTGTATGTGAACGAATATATAAGATATTATAATCAAAATAAATAAATTTTCTGTGATTAAAGTACACTTTATATGTATAATATGTATATAATAATAGCTGTTATACAAATTATACTATATAATTATAATTATACACCTGTTATAACATACGTATATTTAGTCGTATATTTATTATCGCCGTTCTGCGCGCATTTTTAAATTTCAATTTACATATTATTATTATTATGTCCCTCTATATTATATCCCCCTATATACACGTATAACAATAATACATCTGTATATAACAACAAAATTCTTTTAAGTTAAAAATTTAAATTGTTTTTGATTTTAATTTTTACTTAATTTTTTAAAGTTTTTACATAATACAATAGTATTTGTATATTTCGTGTATATACTAAATTATATGTTGATATATATGCAATTATATAATATTAAATTTATCTCATATATATTATAATATTTACAAAAAATGTATCTGTATAACAAATACGTGGCACTATCATGTATACGTAATATATTTGATTATAAATAAAGATTTATATTTAAACATTACAAGGATGTTGAACATTTATATATATATTAAAATATATATGTATGTATATGTTAATATAAATAAAAAATATTATCCAATCAACATGTTACGAAAATCTTAAAATATTTTCTTACGAAAAAAAAAATAAAATAAATAAAAAGGAACCTTCAGTTTTTTTTTTTTTATTTCCTTTTCTTTTTTGTGATGTACAAAAATACATTAATTATATATATATATATATATATATATATATATATATATATATATATATATATATATATATATATATACATACACAATAAAATAATGTTAGCAATAAATTTATTTTTAAAACAAAAGGACACATTTGTTATTATATATATAAAGAAAATATAAAAAAAAGTGGGTGTTTTTTCTGTTCTTTTATGTAGGCTCGGCATATAAAAATAAGAAAAATAAGAAAAAAACAAATTATTTTGTTCTCATTAATGTTCACAATTATACCCATATGTAGTTATAACATCATCATTTCACTTAATATAATATAATAGAAAGAAGAAACAGTAAAAAATAAATTAGTAGAGATTCAAACCCAAAAAAATATATGAGCACATTAAGTTGAGAATTTTCTCTTTATTTTTCAATTGTGTGTAGGCACATAAGCGGTTAATAAATTGCAATAATTTTTATTTTTTTTTTTTTTAAATATAATATTGATTAAAATTATAAATAGGTACGCAGTCAAAATATTTTATAAACAAAGCTTAAGATCTCAAGGTGAAAAAATGTTACAAAATTTATTAAATTTAACTTTAATATAAGAGAATGTGCGTTTTCATTTTAAAGAAATTGAAGGATAAATTCAAACACGCCATTTAAAAAATAAATATCTTGAGTTTTTTATTTATTCGGTTATACACACATAATATTTATGTACATAGATTCAAGGATATTATTGATTAATGTTATATAACATTAATACTGTTATAGAATTATTAAAAATTAATACAACAATTATTGTTGAACTAATTTTATGGTAAGAGCAAGAATAAATTATTATTGAGCTAATTTGAACAAAGATCTGGTATCCAATTAATCATACGCAATGCTAGAAGCAAAAAGTAGTATAGGTTTGTTAAATATTTTATATATAAGTATGTTATATAAATACTTGCGTATAATGTGATAGAACATTAGGCATAATATAGAAATATCAAAATTTTAGACATTAGTATTTAGTCTATTTTGTTCTAAGAGTAACGATACGTATAGAGACACGAGTAACAAAAGTGTTTGGAGGACGTCATTAACATTATAATTAGTATTTGCAGACAATGAGTTGAGTTCATTTATGCAGAGTCAATAATTTTATATGGAACATGGCTAAAATTTAAAATAATACGTAGCAACCAGTGGGAGTATATGAAAGAAATTAATTTTTAAAGCTATTTCTCTAAAAGCGATTTAAAAGGAAAAGTTAATTATTAATTTAAGAAGAAGTTGATAGCGGCAGGAGGGAAGTTGTTGGCTTTTGGTAATTAAATAATTAAAAATTTGATTTTCCAAATATGTTAATCGTATTTCCACAAGAAAAAAAAGTAGCTCAAATTTAACATAAATTAAATCTAATCAGACCAGTTGCCAGTACTTCCTACCCTTGAAATATGGTTTTATTTTTTTTTTTTAGTAAAAAATTATTTTTGTTATTCGAATATTGCATATTTTCAAGAGCATGAGGGTTTTAATCTAATATACTGATTGCGACAGCAACAATCTCTGCGATACAGTCGAACAGAGTGACAGTCGGACAGGTTTATTGAATATTCTTCTTAAGAATAACATATGATAAATAACTTCATTCAATTAATTAAACTGCTGAAATATAAACTTTTTCATTTTCCCACCAATATATAAATTGAATTAAGACAACGACAATTCTTTGGGGCGGCAGCTAATACGATGCTGTCGCATAGTGTCGCAGAGTCTAGACATAGAGTATTTGACATTATTTATTATGTCAATTTATGGGTGTGATTATTAATCAAAGTGTGGAAACAGATAGAACTTTGGTTTTTCTAAAGTACACTGTTCAATGCAATTGAAAACGTAGATTTACACGACTAACGAATTTATAAAAAAAATAACATAAAAAAAATGTTAATTTATTTCAATAAATCCTGGCAAAAGTAAAATTTTTTCATTTTTCAAGTAAACTAAATTTTATTGGCAATGCTGCATTTTTCATATTTAAAAAAAATTGCACGATTGGCATCTCTTTTTTAAAGCTTAAATGTTTTTTTTTTTCATTTTATAAAGAATTTATGATCTATGTGTGTTTATAAGTAAGTATGTATGTACGAATACATACCAAAAAAATATGTTTCTTCTGTATGTATTGGTGTAAAAGAAGATTTTAATAGAAATGCTTATTACATACAAATATACATACATACAGATTTGTTTATATTTAATATTTAAGCTTATATATATATATAAATATTTATATATGCATATACTCTGGCATAAAATTGTATTCAGGTATGTTTGTATATTTTTCAGAAATCTTGTTACGAAAACAGAAAAGTTTAAGTTGGGAACCGCCTTTCTACGTGACATTTAACATTAAAAGAAGAAACAGAAAAAAAAAAAACAAATTTTTTTTCTTTTTCGCCTTTTTTTTTTTCTTTCACGAATTGAAGAAGGCGTTCACTCTGTGAAAAACTTTTATGCCTGCTAAAATTTCCTGGTATAAAAAACGGTTTTTTCTTCTTTCCGTTACTTTCTTCATAAAGTCAAGAAGGTGTGCATTTATGTATGTATTCGTCATAGAGAAAAATATTTGCATAAAATGCGCATATCTATCAAGTATTTATGAGTAAATGTGTATGTACATATACAATAGAAAGTATACGAGTACATGAAATTAAGTACATGAAACAAAAAAGAATTTTGAATGTTTTAAGGATATTTTTTGAAGGACTAAATGTAATAGTAGAGAAATTTTCTCGTTTTTTTTTTGCCTAAGGAAGAGTAGAACATGTTTGGTTTATTTCGTTTATAATGCAATTGCGGTACTGCATTTTTATTTTTTTTTTAAATCTCAGTTTACGTCAAATTAGTAACATTAAAAATTGTAATGTTGCGGAATGTCTGTATCGGTAACAGTTGTTGGGCGGTTATATTTATTCCTTTGAATTTCATGAATTACCTTTGAAATTTATTAATATTTTATACTTCGAGAGCCTTGTATTGATCGAGTTATATTTTTTGAGAAATTGCTCTGTAGATTGTCATAAATAATCCAAAATAAGTCCCCATTGCAAAATCTGTCGCGAGATTTCAACAACTTCAAACAATTATAAGAATTTTGATGTGCTATAAATAATCTTTCAAATTTGGTTCCAATTTGGTCAAAAAATTTTTTTTATATCTTCAAATATTTTTCGTCAATTTGTCAAGATAGTTTATTTGGAAATTCAGCAGTACTTAAATTAATAAACAAATTTATTATTACAATTTTCATTTAAAATTTATGAAATTAGTGAAACCATTGATAAGAAAGAAGCAACTGAATGCAAGCTTTTCTAAACTGCAACTTCATTTATGAACTATTTTAGTGTTCAGTTACAAAGCTAATATTCGATCGAGCAGCTCTATGAGCTGTTCAGCAGTAGAATTTTAGACGATAACTATAAGATATAAGATGTAACTTTAATTTCACTAAATGGTCAGTTTGTTACATATCAATTTTATAATTTTACTACAAAAATTTGCTACGGAGTTAGTCTTCAGCCATTTCTCAAAAGAATGTTGATAAAAATTGATTTAAAGAAATATTGTATGCTTATTCTTCATACAGCGCCGTAACTCTCTATATATCGGCCGCCAAACGTAGTATATAGCAGTTATACTAAATAAATATCTGCACAATTAAAGTGGGGTTTATTTTTAATATTTTTGTTATTTTAATATTGCATAGCTTTAGGGGAAATATGAAAATTATTGTTTTTAGGAGTATTCAAATATCTACAGCCATTTTAGGACTATTGCAAATATTTCTACTTAAATTTATCGAAATAAATAGCTCGCAATAATTATTATGAATTTTGAAAAAGGCATTCTTACTTTTAACACAACTTATAGATATTCATAATAAGGGAGTACATTCATATATTTTTAAAAATTCAAAATAATTCTCCTCATTCTATAAGGCGCATCATACAAGTTATTAAACTATCTTGATTCGATTATAAAAAAATAATTTTATTTCACACAATGTCACAACTATTACTTAAAAATTAAATTTTACAATTACTTAAATTCGAATTGATAGTTTAATTATAATATTCTATTCTTATTAACACCAATTTTAGACTAGATCATATCTTAAAATCTAACAGTATTTATAGTAATTAAAATTAAGTTCATTTCCGGCCTCGTGCAAAATTATAGACGTTTCGTCAGCATTTTTGATGGGAACGATAATTTCGTAATTTCTTCATGTTTAAACATGTTCGATTGCAGACGCTGTGTCAGCAATTTTCATGTGAACAGAAATTAGTATCGTACTGAAGATGTAATTTGATACCACTTGAATATGTAACTAAAGACGGTGATAACTCCTCCCCCTTCAAAGATCTGCGTCCCGTAGATCAAGCTGGAATTTTGGTGCTTCTATGACTGAAATTTGCGGAATCTCTATAGTAGGAACCACTGTTGGAGTGCGTTTTCTCACAACCTTGCTGATGTTTTTCTTGATGACCCAAATGATGATGACTGCAATGATGACGAGTCCTATAGTAATATCGGATGCTATAGAGAGTTGGCTCCTTGGTATTAGCTTCTGAAGTTGTTTTGTGTTGCTGATATGAAGATCGTGAATGTAGTCGAGGCTTAGCTTGATATCTCCTTCTTTTAAATTTTCTTGAAGAACAGGTGGTAAAACTTGCGACGTGGTGGCAGATTCGCTTGTAAATTTCTGACCTTTTATGTGAACGGTTTCGTTGGTATGCTGTATCATAAAGCTTCCAGTTAAGTGTTTGCTCGTGTTGCCACTTGTTAGCTCCCCATTGAAATTATTGAGAAAGATGATATTTTCACTTATGGTTTCTATGATTTCTTCCTTATTGTATTGAAGGCTGCAACTGGCGTTTATTCCCTTTAGCAGTTGATACATACAGTGTCCTTCGTCCAGTTTTCGAATTTTACTTCTTTCGCATATGGTGATGTTTCTTAAATTCTCGCATTTTGTCGATATGCCATATACGTCATCTTTCACGAGAAGTTCCTGATATTCGAGGTAGACTTGTTGGGAGTTTCGGATTGTTGATCTCGCTATAATGTGGTCATAGTACTGGTTGCCTGTCTTCGGTATTGATAATATGTAGAGAATTTCTCGTCCATTGGTTACTACCTGTGGTTTTGCGTATTCTATTGCCTCAATTTCGTTGACGTAGGGTAGTGTATCGATCTCCTTCAGTATTTTTTGGATTTCAATCCTGCTAAGAAGATTTGTGTTGACAATTCCATTTTTTGCTAATTCTGTCGCTAACACGATTTCTCCCAAGGCTTCTTTTATGATTCCAAGTTTGTTAAATATTATTTGTTCGGATCGATGATCTAAGTTCCCTACATGTTCCAAAATGTGGTTAAATCTTTCTACTACTTGGTTTGTTATCCTCATAACTTCACGATTTATTTTGTACTGTTGATTATTATTTTGTATCAGCTTGTCTTGGCTTGTAACGATGTTGTCCCAGTCTGTGGCGTCTGGTGTTCCTGCCAGCCATTTCCATGCTGTACCAATCCAATTTATTGACCGTTGAACTCTTGATTTGCTGCTTCTCAATTTAGTCAGAAATTCCATTATTTGAGCCAGTTGGTGTTCTAACTGTGGTTTCATTATGCTGGTCGAGTTGATTCCATCAACCAAAGGAATGATTTGTTGTATAACCTCGTCATAGCTCTTTAAATCAATGATGTGCACCAAATTGAAATTTCCTTCCAAGATTTGACCTTGTCCTTGTTTAATGGTTGCTATTGCGCCTTTGAATTCGAAGATTTTCGGAAATGCTGTAATTCTAGTGACTGCTAGTCTAAAAAGAAACCTTGTGATAACACCGCTCCAATAGCTGTGTCGGAAGCATCGGTTGTTAGGATGAACGGCTTCTCGAAATTTGGAAATATTAGGACTTCTGAAGATATAAGTAATTCTTTCAGCCTGTTAAATGCCTTTAACTCTTCTGCATTCAATTTGATTCCAACTTTCTTAGATTGATTGGCCTTTATTTGTGCGTTTTCGCCTCTTGTTAAGCTCGTTAGTGGTTTCGCCACTTTTGCAAAATCTTGAATAAATCTGCGATAATATGATGTGAGTCCCAAGAATGATTTTAGGTCCTTCAAATTTGTCGGTGGCATGATGTTCTGAATGGCCGCCACTTTTCTGGGATCGGGTTTGATTCCTTCGCTTGTGACTATATATCCAAGAAATTCTGTCTCGGTGTTGAAGAATTTTGTTTTTTCCAGGTTGACCTTCAGGTTAGCTTTTTCCAATATGCTAAAAATCGTTTCAATGTTCCTTAAATGTTCCTCCTCCGTTTTTCCATATATGATAACGTCGTCGATGTATACGTAGCAGCTTTTGCCTATCTGATCCTTTAGAACATCATCTATCATGCGTTGGAATATTGAAGGCGCATTCCTCAGCCCGAATGGTAGTCTTAGGAATTCGTACTTTCCATTCATTGTTGAAAAAGCCGTCTTGGGAATGTCCTTTTTGTGCATCATGATTTGGTGGAATCCGGATGTCAGATCTAATGTTGTAAAGAATTTGGCCTGGCCTAGGCTTGCTAGTGTGCTTGTAATATCCGGTATAGGATATGTGTCTGGTACCGTTACTGCGTTAAGTCGTTTAAAGTCGATAACCATTCTATACTTCTTCACACCTGATGAGTCGGGTTTCTTGGCTACTACCCAGATCGGTGAGTTGTAAGGGCTTTTCGAAGGGCGGATAATTCCATCCTCTAGCAGCTTTTTGATTTGTTCCTCTACTTCCTTCCTCATATTGGCTGGGTATGGATATGACTTGGTGTATATGGGATCATCAGTAGTAGTTTTAATTTCTGCTTTCACTTGTGTGTCTATTATTTCCCTGTCGTTTATTGGGCCAAATATTTTCTCGTATTTCCTTATTATTCCCATAATTTTTTCTTGGATTGCCTTCGGTAAATGGTCTGCCCCGATTTCGATGGTGTTGACTTGAGCTGATGCCTTTGCCTTTAACGGAATTTTTATATCTGGCTTGATCCTTAAGGTGTTGTTCTTTCTGTCTATAATGGCTTCGAGCTTCTTAAGCGTGTCGTCTCCAATTATACCATCAAAGGTCTTCAATCCTGGCAAAACAAAAAATTCAATGAAGGTGTTGTTTCCCAGACTCTGAAAAAATCTTCCTCCGATCTTCTTGGTGATTGTTATATCTCCTCCAGCTGAACGTATCTTGAATGGTTTTGTTGTTGGTTTGGCATTTGTCGCGATCTCTTCTCTTACAAAATTTTTATTAGCTCCTGTGTCGACTAGAAATTTTAGGAGCTGGTTGTTTTTTGTCTTGAATTCTAAGTAAGGAACGCTTGAAAGGCGTCCGTCATAAAATTTACTTCTTGAACCTCATCATCTGCATATGCTGGTTCTTCGTCATATTCGCTGCATTCTTCTGGGTGGTCATCTACGTCGTCTTCAAGTGTTTCCATATTGAATAGCCTTTGGTGCTTATTGCTAGGCATGTTGCCTACTGATGGTGGCCTCTTGTATATTCCCCTGTAGTTGTCTGGCCGGTTCATATAATTAACCTGACGTGTTTGTATGGATCGGTCAACGTCCATCTTCTCTAACGGTTTTGGCGGTCTAGGTGGAGGTTGCGATTCTCTCTGATGTTGAATGTTGTAGGCCAAGTTCCGTTGTTCCACTGTTAATGGCTGTTCTGGTTGATACGACCTTGGGTTCCCAGCACTTGGTTGTTGTCGTTTCATGGACATTTTGTTGAATGGTACAGTGATTCTGTTGTTATCATTCCTGTTGTGTATAGCGAAGTTTCGGCAACTATAGTTCTGGAGCTCTAGACACGTTGAATATGCTTCTGGCAGAGTTGACGGTTTCTGAAGCATCAAGTACCTGGACAATTCCCCATTGAGCCCTCGGATAAATACGTCCAGTGCTCTGTTTCTTTGTGATTCTATCAATACGTCTATAGTTTCTTTTGTATAATTCTCGGTCTTGATCTTATTGATTATGAGGGAGAATTGATGGTTGACTCTGGCGTAGAATTCATCTATGGTTGATCTTCCCTGCGTCAGTGTGCTCATTTGGTGCTCCAATGTGCGTATGTCCCGTTTGTCGGCATAATGCAGGGACAAACACTGCTTGATTGCGGCCCACTCTTCGTCGAACAGGTTGTACGATATTAGAGCTGCATCTGCTCTACCTCTAATTTTTCCTCTAATAGCTTGTAATATTGCTCTGTATATGGGTTTGTTTCTGACAACTTCGTAATCTCGTAGAATTGATTCTACGCTGTGCACCCATGATACATACTGCACTGCATCGCCATCAAAGGTTTGTAAATCTTTGACACAGTCCGGAAGTCTCGATATTTGTTTCAGGTCGTCTTCACTTTTCGGTGCTGCCAAATTTGTTACCTGCGGTTGTGGTGTATTGAACTGAGCCTCTAGTTTTGCTAGGCGAATTTCAAACCGTTTGCTTTGTTCAATTTGAGCATTGATGGCTCCATTTAATTTTTTGAGCTCTTCCATTATTTGTTCCATTTTTAACTTTTTATTAAGGTAATTTCACTAATTAAATTATTCTATTACGCGGTTTTAAACTTTTAAATTATATTTTTCTTTCAAATTTTGTCGATTAATTTCAAATTTTTTGTTAAATTTAAGTTTTTAGTTGGTTAATCTTATTAATTTTTCACTGGTTTTATTTAAATTTCTGATTACTTTTGTTTTATTTTTTAATTAAATATTTCTTGGTAATATAAAATTTAATTGGTTAATCTTATTAATTTTTTACTGGTTTCATTTAAATTTTTAATTACTTTTGTTTTATTTTTGTATTAAATATTTATTGGTTAAATTTTAATTTTTCAATTTATTATCGGTTAATTGATTAATTTTTCAAATTTTCAATTTAATTTTCATTTATCACTTCAATTTTTTTAAATCTTAATTTTTTTAAAATTAACGAAGCTTCTATATTTTTAAAGCTTATTCAGTGAGATGCAGTTAGTTTCCCTCAGTTAAGTTTTTAAGATTAAGTGTAATGAAAAACTACTTACAGGAAAAAAACGTAATTCATCTGTTTGAGTCTTGGTGAGTAATGCGAATAGCGGTTGAGTTGTGTTTGTCCTTTTTAGACGTGAACTTTTATTCTCGTAAACGTCCTACTGCGGCACAATCTTCAACACTTTTTTGTAAGTACGGTTTGCTTCAGTTCCTTTTTCTTTTTATTTCACTTCGGATTTCCACAATACGCGCACTATAGTTGGGTACACTTTTATCGCGATATGCTTATTTTTCTTCTTTTCTTTTAAAATTTAACGAAGAGTTTTGCGATTTCACGATTCAAGTCACGTTGGGCGCCAGTTATTAAACTATCTTGATTCGATTATAAAAAAATAATTTTATTTCACACAATGTCACAACTATTACTTAAAAATTAAATTTTACAATTACTTAAATTCGAATTGATAGTTTAATTATAATATTCTATTCTTATTAACACCAATTTTAGACTAGATCATATCTTAAAATCTAACAGTATTTATAGTAATTAAAATTAAGTTCATTTCCGGCCTCGTGCAAAATTATAGACGTTTCGTCAGCATTTTTGATGGGAACGATAATTTCGTAATTTCTTCATGTTTAAACATGTTCGATTGCAGACGCTGTGTCAGCAATTTTCATGTGAACAGAAATTAGTATCGTACTGAAGATGTAATTTGATACCACTTGAATATGTAACTAAAGACGGTGATAACTTACAGTATCAATTAAGGGATGCTTTGTTATTTTTGTGAAACTTCTCCTATTCGACACAATTACTATTTTATGTTACTTTAAATTTATAAGCAATATTTTATTCAATCATAATTTGTAATCTTATTACATACCTTTAGTACACAAATAATAAATTGCAAAAGCCAAAATTAAAAATTTCTTCTTACAGAATGAGAGTATAAAAAAAATTTTTTCTTGTTAATTTGGAGTTGACAAATTCATCAGGCTTTCTCTCTATCAATATCTTAAGGATGTTCGTTTGGTTTAATTTATTTATCGTATATCCTTATTTATTAACTCTGTTTTAGATCTCAAAAATAATTCTTAAATATTTTGGTCTAAAAACAGCCTTCAATACAACATTCAATTCTATTTATTTTTTTAAATTTATTTGCTTCTTTTATTTTGTGAAAAAAATATCTTAACCATTTCGAATTGAGTTCTACGTGTTTCGTTATACTTAAGAATTTTCTGTACATTTAGAATGTATATATTAATACATACATACCTACATACACATCCTTCTGTTTTAAATTTTTTTTTGTATTTCATTTTTCAATGGTACGAGTACTATAAATGTCCACAAAACTTTAAAATAATTTTTTGTTTGCTCAATTGAGGTCCATTTTTTTTTTTGTGTTTTTTTGGTTAAAAATTGTGACTCTAGTGTTTCTATTGTTTATCCAATATATGTCATTATAAATATGATATAAATTTGACATTATGGGAATATTATTGTTATTGTTATTATTATTAAAGGATTATTATAATATACCACAAATTATTGTGTTCGTTTGTCTCATCTTTCAGTATTTTATCGGACAGATTAAGTGAGATAAAAAAAAAGAAATTTTAAAACGATATGCGAAAATAAAAGAAAAGAATTTTAGATGTGATAATTTTTAAGATATAAGGAAATTGGGGAAAAAATGGATAAAAAATGGAACGTATTTGGAATATTTTAATGGCATTTAGTGGTAAAATTACCCGACATAAGTAGTGTTGAAAATTTTTTATATTATTATTTATTCGAATTGTCTACAATTTAAAATGCCTGCCCAATTTTAATCAAGTCATTGTTAAGTCATGAATTTTATTTCATACTTTATTTGAAAGGTACTTATTTGCACAATATTTCTAGCCCTTTCAAAATCACTTTAATTTGTCTTAAAATAGGATTAGAAGCATTATAACAAAATTGTAACAAAGTTCAATTTATGTTAAAATGAAAACTGCGAAATTGAGTTTTGTTGAATGATACTGTGTTGCAGCTCTGGAATTTATTGTTGTTGGCTTACTCACACAGAGACTCTCATTTTTAATAAAACTACAAAGGTGAAATACAACATTGGGATCGAGATTGTTGCATTACATATGTTGATGTTCTTGAAAATCTTGATATTCTCATTGCAGCCTCTAGTCTAGACATTCTCATGGTGGAGATTTAAGTGATGTAATTTTTTAAATATTTTTGTAATGAGCTATACTGAAAATTTAAAAATTCTAAATTTCTATATTTTTTTTTGGAAACAATATCTATTCCACCAACCACTTTTACATTTGCTTTCACTTTTTAACTTTTCTTTTATTGGTATAGTTCTTATGCGTTGGTTCTATATGGTCCAGAAAAATCCTATGAAGATTACAGAAATTTTATGAAAAAAGATCAAGAGTATTATGGTCTTGTAGATTTTTATTAAAATTTAAATTTGTTTTTTGTTTGAAAATATATTTTTTTTTTCTGACTATCAAAATTTCACTTTCTCATTTTATTTTGTTATATTCAATAAATCTGTTATATAATGTTAGTATGTACATATATCTTTATCGAAATTTGAGATATCTAAATTTAATAATATCTGAAATTTTTTACTCTTCTAAATAACAAAAAATTAAATTTTAATATTTTGCAATTATTTTTAAAATACATTGAATATCGTTATTCGATAAAAATATCTCATTAAATATAAACTGCATACTTATTAAGAATAAAAAAAATATTACTCTTGAATCCAAAGAACGATTTGCAAAACAGCACATATCCTTTAAGAAGTATTTGAACTTTTTTGAAAAATAAGTTTTGTTAAAGAAAAAATTATCCTTTATCGAAAATTTTGTCCCTGATTTTGTTATTCCATTTAATTGCATACATATAGGATGAACACAAAAAATTAAATTAAATACAGGGCCTACTATAACTAATGGACATTTATATGAACCTGTATAAATTGTTTTAGGAATTTGTTATAGAAATTGTTTCTCTTGTTGCCCTTACATTTACTTTTAGGGAATTTACACGAGTTTTGTATTCTGAAAAAAAATATGCTGCCTAAAAGTAAAATTTTTCTTTATAATTTTAAGATGGCACTAATGAAATGAAATTGGAAGACTTTAGAGGGAATATTTCCATAGAATATCTAAGCAGCAACTGGATCTAGATTACAGTTGATTTGATTAACCAACATGCTAAACTTAAGATTGCCTATACGTCTTCTCGCTAAATGATAAGTCTGATTTTATTATATCGAATTTCAGCTCTTAGAATTTGAACTGTACTCGTAAAATCGTAAAATCTTAAAATCCCCCATCTTAAAATCTTAAATCTCCCCACATATTTTGTATGAAGCTTTCGTCATTTGTCTAATTACTCTAATTTGTCTAATTGTTTTCAACATGAAATTTAAACAAAATTTTCAAAAAATAGCGTTATTATGATTTTAAAGCATAACCAAACATTTATAATAATATATAATTATATATAATTTTCCATCTTAAATGGGTAAGTGCTTTGTTAATAGATGCGTTAAACAACAGACTCTGAATGTTAAGTATATTATGTATTATTTCAAAATATTAAGAAAATGCGCTAAAAATTATAATCAATTCAATTACTCCTATATACGCACTTAAATTTATAAAATTTCTTTTTTCAATATAAATGAAAAAACACATATAAATAAATATAGACACTATTCTATTAAAAAAAAAATATACAAAATTTTATAATAAAATAACATTAAAATCATGTATTAATCCTTGCCGCATGTGTAACTATGTATGTACATTATTATGTTCTTATTATATTGTAATGCAATCATTATATTAACATGTACATACTTATAGGCGTACATATTTTAAAATACCGTATATACACATACTTGTATACAATATTAAATTTGTACGAAGCCGAAGTATAATGGTTCTTATACTCCAACGAACTTGTATTCATATTTATACATTTTCATAACTGTACATATTTTATATACATACACACAAATATCAGTTTATATTGTGATATAGTATGTGTTCATTTATAGATATGTAACATAGGAGAATAACAGGCACATATCATATAAAATATGATAGCAAATTAACGGTCCATTTTTACGCTACTGTTTCACTACGCTTCGTATAATTTTCTATATATTAATTTAAAAAGCTGCAGTGCTTCAATTTTAAATATAAATCCATAAGATAAATATAGAATTACAAATATACTTACACATGTAATCTTTTATACAAATATTAATATACATATTATACATATTATGTATATAGAATATAAAATATATTTATTTGAATATGAAAATATAACAATGTAATATACATATAACAATATTTGTATAAGCAAAGGTTCATTAAGTCCATGGGTCCATATTATTATATTGATTCATTTCTGTTCCCTGTATATTATTATATAATGTATATAAACCCTATATTATGAGGCTATTTTAATATTAAGTGTGATAAAGATATTGAGCAGAAATATACGAACATATATAATATACAAGAGAGTATATATAATAAATTTAACAAAAAAAAATGTATAAAAAAACAAATTACATAAAAATTGAAATGCCGTGACAAAATAGCCTGATTTATAACCGCAAATCAAAAATAAAAAAAAAATTTGAAAAATAAAAATTTAAAGAGTGATTGTAAAAAAAAATATATATTTTTTTATTTTTTTCATTTAACTCAGTCAGTATATAATAAAATTGAATACATAATAATATTAAAATAAAATAAAAATAAGTAGAACATTTTTTTTAAATTTGAACATGCATTTTATGTACATAACAGTTATACTATTGTAGCATAATTATTATTATAATGCCGTGCTTGTATAGTTGGTGACAGAAGTTCTATATTAGACCTATTACTACTATCTGTTCTACATGTATGTATATAGTGTCTGCAACTTCTTTTAAAAATAAAGTTGTTCGATAAGCACTAACATAACTCTATTATTTGTTTATGCAGGTTTATTTAAAATAATAATAATGTTATATGATTATATAATATTATACAAGTTGTCGAATGAAAATTCCCGCATTCACTAATTATATTCGTCTCCATAATTTTTATTATATTAAAATTAAATATTTAATTAGAAATTTAGTCGCCATAATAGTATAACAGTTTAAAAATAATAAAAATTAATTTGGAATTTTGTAAGACGAATAAATTTCATATCAAATATTGCAAACTTTTCTTAGTATAGAGCAAGTTATTGGACGGCTAAATTAATTATTGGAAGAACAACAATTAAAGAATTTTGTTGATTCTAAAATTTTGAAGATAAAAATAATTGCCATAAAATTCTATGTTACATAATTTTGGTAATGAAATTCTATTTAAATTTTATTTTTATAAAATAAAAAAATATTAAAAACAAATCAAAATAGAGAAAATTTTTTCAAGGTTAAACCATAAACAAATTATGTAATAATTAACTGCGTAATTTAAATAAATTTTAGCGCCATAAATACAAGGTTATTTTGGAGAGAAGAAAATGGAATATTTATGTATTTGTAAAAAATTTCTGTAAAATTTTTACAAGGTTATTGTTATTAAAAAAAATTAATATTATTATGATTATTAGCAATTCTTATTGATAATGTTGATTTAAAATAATTTTTTTAAGCATACTTTTAGGAACTTATGAGTCATGTATGGTATTATGCAAGAATTTTTTGATCTCTTCTGAAATTTTATTGAAATTTTAGCTGAAAATTGAATTTACTGTAATTAATAGTTTAATATTTTTGTTTTAGGGTAAATTCTGCTTTGAAATTTGTAATTTCATCATTTGTATAAACTAAATTAAATATACAAATTCCAAAAGCAGTTCTTCTTAAATAAAATTGATCTTTTTTCTGTCTGGTCAAAGACTAGACTACATTGTGTAATATTATGTGGGTCGTATATTATTTAATGACACATGTTATCTGAAATTCCAGTCGAACTATGATTTAGATAAAAATTGAGAAAATAATTTTAAATTTTATTTTGTTTTAAAATGAATATTTAAAATATAAGAAAATTTTAAATGCACGTAGTTTCGATATTTTATTAAGTTTCTTTTTATTGAACCAAGTCGTTGCAAGCCACAATAAATATATAATATTCTAAAAAGTTCTTCTTAAAATTTTAACACATTTGAAAATTTTAATTTAATACTAGCAAAAAAAATAGTCTTACCTTGATTACTTATATAAGTTTTTCAGCAAAAGTCGATGTTATAAAATGAGGGACGTTTCCCGGTCATTTCGTTTATTGAATTAATTGACTTTTACATATTTTCTGTTTGAAGCTAGCTATATAATATCTTAATTAAAGGTGAATTTTCGAAAAATTCGAATAAAATGCAGGAAAATTAAATGCTTTGCAAAGAATGAAATTTTTAAGAAATGTTTGAATCTTAAAATTTACAAAATTATTATTTCATATTTTTCTTAACTTTTTTGGGCAAAATTTCAAAGTAATTTAAAATTCCTATGAAAATTATTATTCTTATTCTATAAATTAGCGTTTCCGAAAGTAATCCTGAAAGTCCAAATTCTAAGTCATCAAAAAATTTATATTTAATTTTTTCATGCGCTTGAAAAATCTCTTGGATCCTTTTTATTTGCAATTTAAGCTTCAGTTTCATTTCTCTTTGTGTAAATTTTCTTGTATTAAAATCTACCTATTATCGCATTGTGTATATAGTTTATAGTGTTATATAGGAAACAATTTTTGTAATTATACAATTTTCTTTTAATGGCACTGTTTTAAATTAAAAAGCTTAATACTCACTAGCGTCCCTGAAAAAAATAGTTTGTTGTGGAATCATAGAAATTGTTATATAATAAATAAACTAAATTTTGTTTTCTTTAACTAAATCTCAATTTTGCGAAAAAATTATAATTAAAAAAATTAACAATTTCAAATATTTTTCTTTAATAAATCAAATATGGTCTATTTAAATAGTCGCCAAGATTTAAAATTTTTAGAAAATTTCATCATATTTTGTAATAGTCATTTATAAATCTATATAAAGGTATTTAATACAATGTATAACAAATCCTAGAAAACTTTTCTAACCTTGAAATAAATGAATATTTGGTTAAAAAGAAAAATTGACTTTTAACATTTTTTCTATTT